TAATAACACAGTACTTCAGCAGCGAAGTATAATTGAGAGGTAATTCCAGATACAGTTATAGAAGATCTTCAATTAGGGGAAGACTCAGTAATTATTAGCCATGTTTTACCTTCAATTATTCCAGCCTTCGCCATTAACTATATGAAGAACGTTTCTTGTTGATCGATTGAAGATAAGCAAGTCCAGTCGGTTTCACAACTGTACATAATTACTAGCCATCGTCTTTTTCCGTATGCGCCCAAGACACCAGATGAAGTAGAGTTCACCTGTTTCAACGGCCGTGGCATAAATGGGGATAATGTGGTCAGCACTACGCCTTTGTTTACCTCAGGGACGTTCTAATGATTTGAACCCGGGTTCGAACTCAAGACTTGTGGGTTAGCAGTTTAGTTCTCTACCGCTAAGCCACGCCGTCCCTAGTTATTTCTAATTCTAAAAGCTTATTAGAATAATAAATATCACTAAATACTATATTATTTACTTTAAGATATTATACGTTTCGTTATCTTCCCATAAATACTGCTCACGATAGTAAATTTACCAGGCTTATATATTGTACACTATTTCGAATAATTAAGGCTAATTAGAGTAATAAATTTCATATCTCTAATACTGAAAGCTAATTAGTAGAATAAATTTTATATTTCTTATACTGAACGCTAATCATAATACATTTATTATTTCTAAAACTGACAGCTAATTAGAATTAAAAAAAAACTAAATCAGTCCTAAGTCGTGACAAGGGTATGCTGTACTTTAAATCTACCAGCAACACTGTAAAACATTCAACTTGTCCGCAGGTGAAGCAGAGTTTGCACGACAAACCGGACATTACTCTAAAACAGCCTCTCTCAGCGATAAGCGCTCAACAAAAACAAGCCACTTTCATGCTGACATTTAATTTTATTTTTGTACTGTCTACGTGTATAAAAATACCCTTGACATTGAATGACATACGACATGTTGGATTCGTGTTGCTGTTCGCCGGCGTTCGCTATTGAAGCGGGGACAAAAATAGTTGTTTGAAAATGTCAAGATGTGACACGGGCAATGTATTGTGATCACTAAAGCCTTGTTGCATATTGTGTTGTTGTTTTGAGACAATCCACGAACGATAATTTACAGGGAGACTACTCTCCTGGAGATTTTAAATATAAAACGTTTTAATTTCGTAATTTGTTTATTGATAGACGGGTAAAACTTGTAAGATAAGTTACGGTTAAAACATAGGGTAGAAAATAAGGTATCAGTAGAAATAACTTACGATTTTTAAAATATGAGAGAAATCAGCTAAAATTTCCTAAGAATTGGCGACAATAGCGAAGTCACGAAGGACATCTTGGAAGTCCGCATACTCAAATCCGAACTGAGATCCGAACTGCAGATTTTCGAGATAGCAAATGATCGCTCTTTGGGTACCTACTTGTGTTTGAGAAAGTAAAGGCGGTTGGACAAAAGTGAAGACCACACCTTCCCTTCATATGCCGAGGTCATGAAACATATGAACTCTACTTCATCTGCGTAATGAATCACTAGGTCTAAAGAAGATTCCTTACCTTTTTTTAACAAGCGCTCTACCACCCGACCACGCCGCTTGTTACCTTTAAAGATACAATGTAAGCCCTGTACTAAAATATGGCTACAGAATACAGATGGACACACTCTATATTGTAAGAAACACAATTGAACATCAAACACACTGTCGTAATGACATTCCCATTACCCACGCTAAACCAACTACTATACCCATCCATAAACCCTTTACATTTAATGTCGTACGACTATACCCATCCATAAACCCTTTACATTTAATGTCGTACGACTATACCCATCCATAAACCCTTTACAGTTATTGTTCGACTATACCCATCCATAAACCCTTTACAGTTAATGCCGTACGACTATACCCATCCATAAAACCCTTGAATGTTGTACAACTATACCCATCCATAAACCCTTTTACAGTTAATGTCGTACAACTATACCCATCCATAAACCCTTTACAGATAATGTCGTACGACTATACCCATCCATAAACCCTTGAATGTTGTACGACTATACCCATCCATAAACCCTGTACATCAGATGTCGTCCCATAAACTAGCGACCACTCCATCTTGAGAGATGTATAGCTAAAGATAATTGCTTCCCGGTACCAGCTACAAGGCTTTATCGCCACAAACCCTAGATACAGACAGACATAACAACACAAATATCATAACCTCGGTGTCCTTTTGTCCGTTTTTTTCTTACTCCCAGCTCTGTTGGAAACTAATAAGAAACGAAATAAGACGGGGTGAATTTATGCTTCTTAATCTCGTCCCAAAGACGAAATCACCGTTTGTGGGCATTTTTCAAAGGCAAGGGAGAGAATGAACAATAAATATTTCGAGGTTCTTTTTTTATAAGACGTCAGGTTTCGGGGGTGGGGAGGGGTGGGGTGGAGGGGGGGGATAGGGTCTACTGGAGACCAGATTTTTTTATATAACATCCTGTTCCAACACGATTGGTTGTTTCTGTGAAACACAAGTTTAACGCTTTTTTTTTGGAGCGTTGTTGATTTTTGTTTTCACCCCACCCGAATATGGGAAATCGATTGTTGATTGATGTCAGTGATTGATTATGTATTAGGCTGTGTTGTGTTTGAGAAGTCGGACATGGGGCATTTAGTCATTAAGTGACGGGAATTAATTATTTTTAAACTTAATGGCGGCCGCTATGAATACGTAATTGTGGGAAAATTGGTTAGCAGATTTGGGTTAATGGATGAGTGAGGCGACATCCATGTTGGGGTACCATGTTGGGTTAAAATGAGGAGGTGGAGTAGGGTGGTGTAAGTGGTGGGGGGGGGGGGGCTTTATTTCAGAATGTGCCATCAGGAATTGTATAAAAAATACAAGCGCTGTAATTTTACACGACCGGTATATTATTTACCTTTTACAAAATTTATGACTTTGCTCATAACGAGTTATTGAACTTAGACATTTAAGAGCACCATTATTATTGCACAATGCTCTACATTTTCTTTAGTCTGTATATATGAGATTTTGTAAAAACAATAAGCGCGTAACAACAAAAACTACAAACCACAGAAGGTAGATCTGTTCTTCTGTTGTCTTATAAAAGATGTTTGTATAAAACCCAATTTGACTAATCTTCAGCCGTACATACTTGTTTACACCCCCCCCCCCCACTTTTTATTGTCTCCGCTCCCAAGGACCTCATACGTCACGTGCCCCATCCCCTGCTATCTGATTGGACAGTTGAACAATCGCTAGCCCGACCCTCAAGTGACAGTCTGTGACGCGCGTCACGTCACATCCCCTTCCGTGTTGCCCAAACCGGCTTGATCTGGTTTTGTTTGTCTCTAGTGTACTAGACCGCGCATAGACATAAGAAAAGGAATTGTCGTCAAAACATAGAGAATGATTGCCGTGTAACAAAGAGAAGGGATTTGTTGTGAAATAAATAGGAAAAAAAACAAATGAAACAAAGAGAAATAATGCGTTGAAACAAAGAGAAATAGTTAGGTGGAACAAAGAGGATTACTGCGATTAATCAAGTTTATCCTATTCAAATCCTAGCCTCGGTTTAAAAAACTAAACAAACCAATCACGTTTAACCGGTGGACCTTGATGAGTACTCTCAGTAATCCGGCGATAATCCGACGATAATCCGTTTGTTTCAGTGGGCTTTGAGAGTGAGATGGAAACGGGGATGTTGACGTTTATGTTGAGGGAAAACTAGCTTCAATTAGGGCAAGGGGTTTCATGCTGTTTTTTTTGGGTTTGTGTAGTGACGTTTGTCAAGTTTGATGACTTGATGTATGAGGGTTGGGGTGGTAGTGAGTGGGTGGGGGGGGGGGGGGGTTAAAGAGAGTACACATACAGACATCAACAAAGTTAAGTAAATAAAACAACACAAACACCTTTATATATATATATATATATATATATATTTATATATATATATATATATATATATATATATATATATATATATATATATATTGCCTATATGTATAGCATATATATAAATATAAAGCCTATGTATATAACCTGCATTCGTGGTAATTGTATTGATATAATGTATTTAATCCTATTTATTTTAATCTAGCTTCAATTGAATATATTTTTAAATATATTTTTAGTGTAGTTAGCTGTTAATTTCATTTCTTTAACATACCATTTTTAAGTGGCTTGCTAATTTCTGTAGCAAATACAACCATTGTTATTTAAAAATTGTTGGTGCCTTGCTAATTTCTGCAGTTACTATAACCATTGTAACACAACATCTTTGAGTAGCCTGCTTATATCTCACCATCTCTCTCCCCTAGCTCTAGAACCAAGTGCCTGGTTCCCGCCTACTCTGCTGGCAGACGATTGACGTCTCGGCGCTGTTTGACCTTCGTCCAAATCTCGAACACGTTTCCAGAATTTCTGCAACTAAAAAAAAATCTTTAAAAAAATTTGGCTTACGTCTAGAAGTGGATAAACTAACTGGGTTTAATAAAAAAAAACTGTTTAAATTGTGGAAGATTCAGAGTTTTCTTGGACCTCCGCACACGGATCCATGCGATGCGGAGGATCAGTGCTGGTGTGTCTCAGACGCCGTCGTCAAGCTGTGAGACATGCGTTTCCCCCTTGCTAACTAGCTAGACAGATTGATAACAAGGGACGTAATCTCGTGACAAGAAGGGAAGTGATCTAAAAGGGGAGAGAATTTCCCCAGATTTAGGAAATCAAGGGGAGTAATTTGTTTCTACTGAAAGGGAGACGAGTAAGGTTTCTTTTTTTTTTAAGTTGGACAATTAGTATCTTTGAGCCCATCTTCAAACTCTACTCCAAACTTGTGATACTTAATTTATAAAACGTTCTAAAAGATAAATAAGGAGGTACTAACATGATAACAATTCTTCAAATAGTCATGTTTTTCTGGATTTAATATTTTTGAAGCCAAAAAATAAATAAAAGCAGACCAAATTTAAATTATATTTTAAAATGTCGTCGGTCGGGTTCAGCACGGTTCTGGTGAACAAACAAGAACTCGCCAACTACAGCATCAACTACTCAGACTCCATCGGCAACGACTCCGACGTCAGCTCCAACTTCTACAACCTCAGCTCTCAGGAGCTGCCGTCTGCTACAGCCCTGCACATCGGCGCCATCGTTATGCTTATCGCTCTTCTCTGGGGACTCTTCGGCAACATCTTGACTTCCTTCGTCATCTTAACCAATCGGGATCTTAAAAACACGACAAACGTCTTCATTGTTAGTCTCTGTATTAACGATATTCTAAACCTCGGCATCAACAACATGATTGTTTTAATCTCGTATTTTATGATGAAGTGGACAATGGGACTGGCTATTTGCGAGATGGTCATGCACTTCACTGTCCTGCTAATGGGGTCATCTCTTTGGCATACAGGCCTAATTTCCATTCATCGCCTTATCGTCGTTTGCTTCAACAATTTTTATAAGAAAATTTCTAAAAAAGCCTACACGATATTCGTGCTGTCGTTCGCTAGAATCGTTCCTCTCCTGTTTATGATCACGCCACATTTAGGAAGCATGTCACAGTTCCAGCCCAAGTTAATCCGCTGCCTGGCGCGGAAGGAGTTCAGTCTCTACACCATGCTGGTCAGCGTGACCTTGATGATGCTCCCGTCTATCATCCTCATCGTCTGCTACATCGCCATCTTCGTCAAGGTCTTCAGGTCCTCCAGCGCAATCCGGGCTACCCGGAAACGGGAATGGCTCCGGAGAGAAATCCAGGTCACCAAGATGTTCGGGATGGTCTTTCTTCTCATCATCCTGGGTTACCTCCCCTACGGCATCGTCCGATTCATTGACCGGAAGTTAGAACTCAGCGCTGATTTCTACGTCGGGATTTCCGTCTTGTACGCCGTAGCCAACAGCTGTAATCCGATAATCTACGGGGTAATGGACCGGAAAATCCGGCGTTACTGTTTCAGGGCGCTGGGTCTGGAAGAGACCTGCATGAAAAACGACCAGCAGTTGAATAAGAAAATCAGCCTGAAGACCAACGGAGAAACAGAGGTGACGGAAACGGTTGCTATAACGACGCCGGCGAAATCGGTGGCGCCCACGTCGACGACGCCCCCGCCGTGTCAAGTTTGACTACGCTCGGGGGAGAACTTTGAAAACACCGCCGCCACCCTAAACACCGCCACCCCTAACACCCTTAAAAGTGGCAGTGATGGGATAAACAATGGGTTTCTGTGTGTGGACGCCGCGGTTTACAACCATGTTGAATCCGGAAGTTACGTTTGTGAAAGTGATTCAATGAACCTCATCCCAAATAGCGGCTCGTCGCCGGAGACGGGGAAAGTTACTAGTACTAGTACTAATACTAGTAACCACGGCAGCGCCGCGCATCATGAACACAAAAACTCAACCCGATCGGAAATTTCCGAAAAACCTGCCAAATTTGTTCTCGTGAACGGCGAGGCTAGGACTTCACCTTCTCTGATAATGATCCGAAGCCCAAGTGACCACTCGGAAACCATGGTAACCGCGCAAATCCCCGGCGCATTCCTCAGAAAATCGGAAGAGGACCTTATCCACAGACACTGCAACCACAGCGCAGGTAAGTCCCAGGGAGTGAAATCCGACTCGTTATCCGACCTCATCAACGGAAGCATCATCGGAACCGAGTGGTACTTTGCCAACAAGTTCATCCTTTTCGGCGGGTCCACCTCGGCCCCGACGCTAAACGAGTTCCCGACGTTGGAAAAATTAACGACGAGCCGGAAAAGCGAAACGAAAAACAAAAGTAAAACGACGCCGAAGATTGTGATAGACAGACCTTCGGATGATGAGGATGAGGATGGTAGCGATGGTGAGGATGAGTTGGAGGCGTATTACAACAAGCAACTGGTCCTCAGTGATTGGGAGGAGATTTGCCGGGACCTCAGAGTAACGGAGTTATGAAGAGGCAACGGGCCAATACCGTATACGATTCTACTTCATACTAATTGTGGTTCTGGTGTGAATGTATACTTTGGTTCTTAGTAAAGAGACAACAGGTCAATACCTTAAGCCGCACACGATTGTACGTTATGGTAATCGAGGCTTTGGAGTAAAAGTATACTTTTGGTCCTTCTAAAGAGGCAACGGGACAATACCTTAAGCCATGCACGATTCAAAGTCGCGTTATTTAAAGATCTGGATTTAGTTATCATTTTGGGTCCTTATTTTCAATTATATAATGATCATTATAACTGTATTCTTAGTCTCAAAAGATTAAATGATTGCATTCGTGAAACCCATGACAAAATATCTGGGCAGGAAGTTGAAAAGTACCAAAGAATGCCCATTTATTAGTCCCTGTCTCTACACAGGTGATAGACCCAAGAAGACGAACAAAACTCACTGATGTGAAACCAATACAATTAAAAACCACATATTGTTTTAAAAAAGCTTCGTCAGGCAAATAGCCCATCATCATATTAATTGCCGATTCGGTCCTTGCCTACTTTGCCTATTCGTTAATCCGGCAATGGTCATAGTACTCATTAGCGTACAAGATGTCGGACATGACATCTTATAAATGAATAACATGTTTGTATTACCTTTTTTTTTTAAATTTAAACAGTTTTTGTTTTATACTAATGCCATGTCTCATTATTGTACATTTTCAAAGAAAAACAAAAAATCATAGGATAAAACAAATGGATTATGTTTTATGTATTAAAAAACAAGAACTCATTGCATATGTATTTTGAATTGAATTACTGTAATATTCAAAGATATATGAATACATTTCCTAATGTATGAAATTCACGAATGGAATGCAAGTATTAATGCTTATACGTAGAGTCACACTTTCTACACATTAGAACTTGATTAAGTTTTACACTGTTTGTATATTTAACATTGAGTGCCAAAAACCACATGATTTTGAGGTTTAGTATTGAAGGTAGAGAGTACAGATCTATTAGGGGTGTGGGGGGGGGGGGGGGGGGGGGGTAAGAGTTTGTTGTGAAACCATTGTTAAGTTTACTTACAATTTTCAGGATCTGTTTTATTCTATAACTAAACCAATGCATCCAGTTTAACTTGTAGTACTTTATTTTCATCTTGTAACATACAATATATAAACTCTTTAGGCTAGAGTTAATATATATATATATATATATATATATATATATATATATATATATATATATATATATATATAATTTTGTAATTGGAGAGGTGGCCTCAACCCTCAAACCCCTTTCACCCCCTAGATACGCCGATATCTGTATCTGACATTAGGCTGAAGACACTGTGACTGAAGGTATCTCTTTGTCTCTGTATCTTTGTGTCTCGCATGACATGGCTGGGACCGGCTGGCATGAATGGCTGAACGGAGCCAGACTCAAAGAATGGACCAGGTCCGTCCTTCAGGCCCGGGGGTGTGGGGTACTGTCAGGTCCGTACTCTAGTCCCGGGGGTGTGGGGTATAGGTCCGTACTCTAGTCCCGGGGGTGTGGGGCACAGTCAGGTCCGTACTCTAGTCCCGGGGGTGTGGGGCACAGTCAGGTCCGTACTCTAGCCCCGGGGTGTGGGGCACAGTCAGGTCCGTACTTAAACCCCGGGGGTGTGGGGCACAGTCAGGTCCGTACTCTAGTCCCGGGGGTGTGGGGCACAGTCAGGTCCGTACTCTAGCCCCTGGGGTGTGTGGCAAAGGTCCGTACTCTAGCCCCGGGGTGTGGGGCACAGTCAGGTCCGTACTCTAGTCCCGGGGGTGTGGGGCACAGGTCCGTACTCTAGTCCCGGGGGTGTGGGGCACAGTCAGGTCCGTACTCTAGCCCCGGGGGTGTGGGGCACAGTTAGGTCCGTACTCTAGCCCCGGGGGTGTGGGGCACAGGTCCGTACTCTAGTCCCGGGGGTGTGGGGCACAGTTAGGCCCGTACTCTAGTCCCGGGGGTGTGGGGCACAGGTCCGTACTCTAGCCCCGGGGGTGTGGGGCACAGTCAGGTCCGTACTCTAGTCCCGGGGGTGTGGGGCACAGGTCCGTACTTAAACCCCGGGGGTGTGGGGCACAGTCAGGTCCGTACTCTAGTCCCGGGGGTGTGGGGCACAGGTCCGTACTCTAGTCCCGGGGGTGTGGGGCACAGTCAGGTCCGTACTCTAGCCCCGGGGGTGTGGGGCACAGTCAGGTCCGTACTCTAGTCCCGGGGGTGTGGGGCACAGTTAGGCCCGTACTCTAGCCCCGGGGGTGTGGGGCACAGGTCCGTACTCTAGCCCGGGGGTGTGGGGCACAGGTCCGTACTCTAGTCCCGGGGGTGTGGGGCACAGTCAGGTCCGTACTCTAGCCCCGGGGGTGTGGGGCACAGGTCCGTACTCTAGCCCCGGGGGTGTGGGGCACAGTCAGGTCCGTACTCTAGCCCCGGGGGTGTGGGGCACAGGTCCGTACTGTAGCCCCGGGGGTGTGGGGCACAGTTAGGCCCGTACTCTAGCCCCGGGGGTGTGGGGCACAGGTCCGTACTCTAGCCCCGGGGGTGTGGGGCACAGGTCCGTACTCTAGCCCCGGGGGTGTGGGGCACAGTCAGGTCCGTACTCTAGCCCCGGGGGTGTGGGGCACAGTCAGGTACTCTAGCCCCGTGGGTGTGGGGCACAGGTCCGTACTCTAGCCCCGGGGGTGTGGGGCACAGGTCCGTACTGTAGCCCCGGGGGTGTGGGGCACAGGTCCGTACTCCAGCCCCGGGGGTGTGGGGCACAGGTCCGTACTCTAGCCCGGGGGTGTGGGGCACAGGTCCGTACTCTAGCCCCGGGGATGTGGGGCACAGTCAGGGCCGTACTCTAGCCCCGGGGTGTGGGGCACAGTCAGGGCCGTACTCTACCCCCCGGGGGTGTGGGGCACAGTCAGGTCCATACTCTAGCCCGGGGGTGTGGGGCACAGTCAGGGCCGTACTCTACCCCCCGGGGGTGTGGGGCACAGTCAGGTCCATACTCTAGCCCCGTGGGAGTGGGGTCTCACTCGATACAATGAATACTAAGTACCTCAAGTTATCTGCCCATGACAGGCGGCGGCCCAGCGTCCCTAGCAAATATGGGGTAAATGGCACTGAGGTGTGTGGACCCTCGGGCCACGCTCTATTGATTTTGTCGCCCGTCATTTGCTTTCCTTTGCCCTGGATAAGGCGTCTGAAAGTGTAAGAATGTTTTTTTTTTCTACAAGGCTATTTTTAGCCTCTTATTAAACGAGTAGTTGTTCTTTCTTTCGCAAAAAAAAAATGTAAAATTATAGATTAAAGGGAAATTGACGCTTTTCATAAGATCTAAATTAGAGCCAATTATATCGAAAATATAATCTTTGAATTTTTATTTTGAATCTTATTGACTGAAATACACTTTGTGTGATGTGGGTTAGACGTCATTGAAATATATTCTTGCGTATACATTGAGTCCACTGATTAGATCTAGTATATGAGCTAAATATTTGATCTTCCGTTCGAGGCAAAAATGGTAGTGTCCCTTGCGAATAGACTAATATATATATATATATATATATATATATATATATATATATATATATATATATATATATATATATATATATATATATATATATTTAGCCTCTTTAGGACAATTAAACTTGATTGCATTGCGTAAGGTCCTGAGAGTTGTGTATTGGAAGAAGGTTGAATGTCTCAAGTTTTTGCTGAGCTTTAATGCATTATATAGACGTCGGTAAAATAGAAAAAATTCAGACATGGGTAACATCAGGTAATGATATATGGGGTGGATGGAAGGGGTGGGGGAATAAACCTTTGCAATATCAATTTTCAAAGATTTCGACTACTTAAATGTCGGCGTGGTAAATGTTAGAGATGGCGATGTAGAATTCAACACGATTTCTTTTTCTCTCTGAGCTTGATGTAGGATGTTAGATGCTAGACGTCATTTGTTGGACGTCAAAGGTTGGACGTCATTTGTTGGATAGAAGATGTTGCAGTTATTTTAGACGTCTAATGCTCGGTATCTAATGTTTAAGTCATGTAAGACGTCAAATTCTCAACTTCCGATGTCAGATGCTGGACGTTAGATGTCGGATTCCAAATACATGACAACAGCCTCCCATTTTCCTCCTTTCGTGACGTCATCCGCATCCCTTCATCCTCCTTCGTGACGTCATCGGCCTCCGATATCCCTCCGTTTGTGACGTCATCAGCCTCCCCATCACCCCCCCCCCCCACCCTTTCGTGACGTACATCCGACTGGCCTAGATCTACTCCCATATCGTGACTGACCAAAATAGCTTC